GCGAGGGCGAAAGCGAACGAGTGCCGTTTAAGTTCGTTATACGCTTTCTACGAAATTATATACGGTCTAAAGAGTTGCGTTTAATCTTTTTTCGATACGTGCCTCCGACAGATTTCCTGTTGAATTCCTGTCGATTCACTTTTCGATATATCCTTGCACGATCCTCGTGTGATCGGGAGAGAAAGATTGAAATCAATCCTTTGTCGTGTATCCCCAAAAATGAATTTTCGAAAACGATTGTACAAATAATAGGAAGCGATGAATAATAATCGAATAGCTATAACAGAGCTTATAATTTCGTATCATTTCGTAGGAAGGGCGAGAGTGAAACGAAATTTCACTCTACTACTTGCCCACCAAACAGTCTGCCACGCCTCTTCAACGTCTCTCCTCAACTTAAATTGCTATTTAACCATCGCACCTACAGGAATTCCGGTAACTCGATTCCCCCGACGGTATTCGGGCAACAACTAAATCGATCCCTCTCCGCCTTCGTATTATCGAACGAAACTCGAAAAGAGATCGATTCCATTTTTCCGCGGATATCCAACGTCTCTTCCAAGAAACCTGGCCACAATATTCCGTTTTTCGATTCCGAAATGGATGGATGGATGGATGGATGGAAGTCAATATCACGACAAGACAAAGGGTAACCCTCTCTCCCCCTCCTCCCCTCCCCTCCCGCTCAATTCTGGTTAAACCAGAATCGAGTCGAAAGAAGGGGGGGGGGAGGGAAGAGTGAGCGACGGATATAACGAACTTCTGCAAGATGTTACCGAATTCGGTTCGTGGCCGCGGGGGATGTATATATATATATATATATACGGTGATTAAATTTCCTAGTTGCATTGCCACGAAGGGTTATATCCATAGGAAATTTAAACAAGGGCTTTAAGGAACGGTCTCTCGTCGTTCGCCCTCCCTCCCCCCTCCTAAATATCGTTTTTCCCTCGGTTGCGGTCTCGTTACCGTGTTCCAGGCAAATTCAGCCCCCGGGCCACGGGGCTCGGGCCACGACACGCTCGCCGCGAATTATTCATGTAGCAACATTTCACGTTGCCTCAAAGCCTCGTGATTTTGCAACCTACCCCTCGGCCCACCAACCCAACCCCCCTCCCCCTGTTTGTTGTTGTTCCTACGATTTTCCTTTTCCTTGCTCGCCGGTGACGTTATCGCGATTCCTGGTGGGCGGCGAGGGGGGGAGGGAGGATGGCAAGCATGTTTTCCCGCTTATTATCGCTGTTGTCGGTGGAACCGCGAACAACCCGATTAACATTCGTTGCGGAACAAGCAGAGTTGCGCGGGGATGAAATTACTGAGATTAAGACGGAGGGGGCAAGGGGAGGAATTAAACTTTTCCTTCGCCGCCCTTCGCTTTCCTCTCTTTCTTTCTCTCTCTCTTTCTCTCTCTCTCGTTCTAATTTCTTGTAAATCGAAATTTATGGGGGAGAATCTTGGGGAGGGACCGCGTGGATGGGGGCGCTCTGTGTGGTTGAAAGTTAAAAATGTACGTTGTTCTTTCTTTTAAAAAAGAGGGTGCGCGTCGGTTTATCCTTTTTATCGTGGGAGATTTTATATTCGAGGGGGTGAATTAGGGTGAAAGAAACGAAGACGAAGACGGACGGGAAGTTTTTATACGGTTGTGCATGTTGTAAAAATATTTTTGAGAATTGGTCATGGAAATGTTTATGGATGGATTTGATGGATTGTTTGTTGTTGATGAGTCGAAGAGAAGTTTGAACGGGTGAAAAGTTGTACTCTCGTATTCTCGGGGACAGTTGGAAGGATTGTTGTTGTTGTGGAAAAGTGAAGTAGATGAAATAATTTTTCTCGATATATTTCGATTGGAGTGTCGCAACTTCATCTTTGTTGTTATAATAGTCGTCCGCGCGATATTAGTTTTACATGTCGTTTAACTTAATAAACGTGGCGCATCATGCGGGGGCGAGAATGAACTCGCGAGAGGTCAATAATTGAATCAGCGGAAATTGCTTTAATGCAAAGGTGAAAATAAAATTTGTAAATTAAATTTCGCTACGGGATATAACGTCGAAACGGTTTTAATTTTAATTGTATGATAATACGGTTTTGTAAAATGGATTTCTGCAGCGGAGGGAACGTTGTTAAAGCAAAAAGTGTGGAAATTGTTGTTGCAAATGGTGCAACGTAATCACGAAAAATAATACGGAATTTCAGCCCGATAAGAGAGTTTTAACGATGTCATTCACCGGAAATATCTGTCGATACGCAGAGATTGTTTTTTAATATTTATATAATCTTCGAATGCTCCAACATTAATTTACGGTTCCCTGAATTGCGTGTAGTATTAAATTTTTTTTTCTTTTTTCTTTCTTTTTTTTTTTTTTTTCGTTATTTTACAATCAACGTCAATTACAATCGTCGTCGTATCAAAAATATTACACCGAGCGAGATATAAAAACTACGGTATAAATTTTATAATGTTAATATTACAATCCAATACGCGTTTGAAATATTTATAAAAAAATAAAAATCGAAAACACACACGAGAATATAGAATCCGATCTCGGTAAACCATAGACATTTTATTTTAAACGCACGAATTTCCGAAAAGCTTCATTCGCTTTCCGAGGAGAGAGGAGGAAAAGAAAAAAAAAGAAAAAAAGAAGAAGAAGAAGAAGACGAGACGAAACACGCGGAACGGCAGATGCAGGAAATCTGTTTGCTCGATAAATGGCTGAAAGCGTGAAATCCTTGTATCTCGAATCGAAGCGGATACCGCCTTATCTCGAAAGGCACAGATTTTTCCGACAGCTGTCGATCTTTTTTTCCGACAGTTCCTGACTTCTTTCCTCTCCTCTCTCCTTTCCTCTTCTTTTCTCTTCCCTTCTTTCCTCCCCCCTCGTCTTCCTTATTTCGCGCCTTCGAACCAATAACGCATTATCCACCACCACCACCACCGCCGGAAATACTGTTTACCGCCAGGATATAGAATTTTTTGCCCGACCAATTTTTTTATTGCGTCGCGTATCACAGGATTAGTCAGTTGAAGAAGCGATTGACGCGCTAATAAGCGCGATAATTTTGGTCTGGACTCTATGTTGGAACTCATTTTCATGATGGAATGGAATAAATTACGCGACTCATCGCGCTCTCATTTTTTATGGCATATTTAATTATTCCGTTTCCTGAGAGGGAGGGGGTAGGTGAGGGGCGGAGAAATTAATCGTATTTTCTTTTTTATCGATGTCTCGGGGACTGATATATTCGAATAATTATCGTTTTTGGATACGTTTTTTATTTGTTGACAGAATGATCTCTATTTTGAAGAATTATATTTTCGTATAGAAATTATTATAAGCGCGTTGTTATAAGCAAACAACAACATAATACACGTATGAATCAATGTTTCGTAATCAATGTAAATGTTGTTAAATACTAATACCGTATATATTAAAATATATTACCGTACATATAATACATATTTTGTTGACGAATAAATATACATTTGAAATGTGAATAAATATTTGTAATCATGCATTATAATGTTATCAAGTATAATCGTGTTTTAACAAAACTCGCAAAACACTCGTTAATAAAGATTCGCAATTAATGAAAATATATATACTTGGAGGCACAGTTTGACAGTAACGCGTTAAACATTAAAATGTTCCAACGAAAAATCGATAGCTGTGGCTGGCATGCAATTATCCTTCTACAAAAGATAAATCGTAAAATATTATAACAGTCAGATGTGAAGCATGATTTGAAATTTACGTGCTCCGTAAAGCGAAACAAAAATATTTCCTCGTGTCAGGCATTGTAGTAAAATTTCTGACATCAGAATAAAAATGAATCCGTATTCCGTGATTTATTCGGTGGAAACAAACGCATTAACGAATGGGAAAAAAGAAGAAAGGAAAAGAAAAGAAAAGAAAAGAAACATGAGAAAATGTTAACTTACCTGCGCTTCACAGTCATTATTATTCTCCAAGAAAATTATCTTTCTTAAAAGAGACGCCAATTTATTTCTCATTTATTTCTCTCGACTCTACAAAAAAAAAAAAAAAACAAAAAAAAATAACAAATCTAAAAATATACCGTAATTTACGTAAAATAACGTAAATAAATATATCTCTAAGATATATTAGACAGATACAGGGCTACGCCTAAAAACGGAAACGAAAAGTGGCGCTCGATGAAAAGGCGATTCAAAATAATCCAAAAAATTGCATCTTTGTACATCGGTTTATTATCATAGCGGTACTTTGACACTGGTTATTTTAAGAAAGATAATGTCTAGCCTCTTCGTTATTTCTTATCTGCTCTCTTCCACTCTTGTATTTTTTTTTTTTTTTTTTTTTTTTTTTTTTTTTTTTTTTCTCTGTTTGTTAAGAAGTCTTGGCAACCGGCCAAGCCGCCAGAATTAAGTTCGGAAGCTACGTTTCTGTACACTCGGTGTTGGCCGTCGTTGAGAACGGTTTCCACCTCGCGATCATTTCTCTCTCTCTCTCTCTTTTTCTCTCACACGCATACACACACGCGCTACCTCTCGCTCTCATCCTTCCTCTTTCTCTCTCTCTTTCTCTCTCTCTGTCTCTCTCGCTATCTCTCACTCTCGTCCATTCTCGCTGTTTAGCCCTTTGCTTCTTCGCTCCTCGCATACTTTCTCCTCACACCATCCCGCCTTCTTCACTTACACTCCGTTTTCGTGCACTCGCGCATCTCTTCTTTTTCTTCTTCTTCCTCTTCTTCTTCTTCTTCTTCTTCTTCTTCTCCTTCTCCTTCTCCACCTTCTTCTTCTCCTCCTTGTCCTTCTTTTTCCTCTCACTCGATCTCACACCGTTCGATAAAAGTTCTTCCGGCCAGCAATCGCTCTCGCTTCCCCGTCTCGCACTGTCATTCAAACGTACAATTCGCCACCGCGAATTTCACGCCAGCACGTTCCCTGTGTCCCATCAATTTCTTTTCTCCATCTTCTCTCCAGCCTTTCTCTCTTCCCCTCCCTCGTCATTTTCTCACCACATTTCCCTCCCCGTACGTAGCCCCAGCCACACTTCCAGATCATAGAAGTGTCCTGGAACGCGCGACGAGAAAACAACGCGTCCAATCCAGAAACGCGGCACGTTACAATTATTATTGTCACTTTGTGTGTGTGTGTGTGTGTGTGTGTGTGTGTGCTATTTAACGTTCCGATCGCCTGAGATCGATGCAGCGCGAGAGACTGCGCTTATTTTTTTTCTTTTTTTCTTTTTTCTTTCTTTCTTTCTTTTTTTTTTTTTTTAATTATTGCCACCTGCAGTGCTTTGAGTGAAACGAAGATCCTTTCACCGGGATACCGAAAGGAAAGGGAGGGCACGTTCCTCTTTGGTTTTTCTCGATCGCCTCGTTAAGGTCCTCGATACATCACGGTCCCTTTGTTCAACGAACAGCCCAACTCGTTCTCGACGACGAGTTACATAGTCGACGAAACACTTGGATTTTTTTTCGAAATTTCACCGTATTTCTCCTCCGCCTCGAGTTCATCGGCAGATGGAGGAATATCGAGGGAGAGGTTTCTCCCAAGGCTCCATGGGATCTCGGCCAACAGTTTCCTTCACCGAACTTTACCGCGTGCGTATTTCCCGACGGACAAAGCCGAATCTGGCGGTTATTCGGGAACTACTCGGAGCTTCCTCGAGAAGTAAGGTGATCCGTTCGAGCTTTGTTCGTTCCTAGTTCAATGTTCAATGTTCATCCGTTCACTTGAAAACCAGTACACCGGTTAATCTGGTTCGTAGCCAGAAAACGTTGTTGAAAAGTGTGTATGTATATATATATATATATATATCCTCGATAAAACTCTATTCGAACGAAACGATCGATCGTTCGATATTTTTGATTCGTGTATAAAAGTCTCTCTATTTTTCTCACATTTCTCGTTCGATTCGAAAATCGAAAGTCTTTCCAAAGATTGTGGCACGAGCGGGAAGGAAAGTAAAAGAAGTAGAAAAAAAAAAAAAAAAGAAAAGGAAGAAAACGAAAGAAAGAAAGAAAGAAAGAAAGTGAAAGTTACTTCTGCTAAATATCGGCAAAGTACACGTCCGGTAATCGCGTCCTTTCGACGCGCGATCCTCGATGTTCAGATACCTTGTCCCCGTCGAACAATCGAGCGTACTCGGATTCCGGTCACCAAAGTTCGGTGGTCGGGGTGAGAGTGTGCACCTCGATGTTCTCGTGCCGATGATACCTGTCCCTTCGCCTCACCGTTGCCCGCCGCGACAACACGACGGTGAGCGCGGCTGCCGCGCCGAGCGCAGCGCCAGCCAGCACCAACATCCCCGGATGAGCGCCAGCGGACAAAGCCTCGGAGACCCTTGCGTCGGAATCGGTCGCCCTCCTGTCGTTCAATTCCTCGGCTATCGTGTTCGAATCGCCCCTCTTGTTATCATTATCACTCTCCCCGCCGAGCACCGCCGAGTTCTCTCTCGTCGTCGGATCGTTCGCCCTCCTCCTCGTCCAATACTTCTTCTCGAACGGCTGCTCCCTCGACAACGGGGGGCCGATAGCTTTCGATGGCTTGAAGGCGAACGAGGAGGTGGCGATCTTGCCGAGTTTTCTTTCCCCCTGCTCGCTGCCGTCTTCTACGCGATTATCCAAAGTTCCCGAATCGTCCCCGCTTCCCATAATTGACGGTTTTCCATGGCTCGTCGCGCCCCGGCCGACGTCTATAATTGAATTTTTAATCTCCGCCGCGGCGCCCCGATCGACCTCGATAACTTTCTTAGCCGGGTCTCGCTCCTCCTTCCGTCCCGACCTCCTCGTCGTCCCCACGAAGCCCGTTCCGCTCAACGTTGCCGGCGACGAAACCGGCCTCGTCGACGTTTCCTCGACGATCGGCGACGAGTCCTCGGCGACGAGGGAGGGACGACGATCTCGATCGGCTCGCGATCGATTCTCGTGATCCTCGGTGGCGGTGATAACGGATAACGGGTGGACGGAGGCGACGGTGGCCCCTAGGTGGGTAGTGGATGCGTTGGAAGTAGACGCGGTCGGGTTATTAAAACGAGACGAACGTTCGATCGGAGGCGGAATCGATAATGTCGTGGGCGGCGTGATGATGACGGTCGGCGGGGCAGCGGTGGGTGGAGGGCTAGGGGGCGATGGTAATTCGTAGAGCGGCGATCCCGACAATCGGCCAGGTGTATCGCAACGCACGTCTTCGTTCGGTCGCTCGTGCTGCCTCACCCACTCGCCCAACCAGTACAGGTCCTCGCTGCAGTTCCAACGATTCCCGGCCAAGTCGAGGACGCGCAATTGCGGAAGCACGTACGGCAGATCGAACCTCAGCCCCGTCAAGTTCGTTCGGGACAAGTTCAATTCGATCAAGCTCTTGCAGGCGGACAACGCGGCGTCGTCGGCGAGAAGCTGCCTGGCAAGGACCGGGCTTCTCGACACGTCCAGGTAGACAAGCCTTTCCGGCGTGGGCACAGGAAACGCCATGTCGCTTTGCTCCTGTTGCTCCCCCCGAAGCGAGGTTAATCCCGCCATACGAAGCTTGGCCAGATTACTCGGCCCGCTCAAGGTATTAGCCGGCAACGTTTTAACGGGATTATCGGAAAGATCGAGCTCTTCGAGCACCGGTAATTGGCCGAGGGCCCCAACCTCGATCTCCTCGATGTCGTTGTCGTTCAACGTCAACCATCTCAAATTGTACAATCCTTGGAGATCGTCCGTTCTCAAACGGCCGATCGCGTTTCGTTCCAGCTTGAGACTGGTGAGACTGTTCGGCAGGCTGCCAGGCACCTTGGCCAGAACGTTGCCCGAGATGTCCAGCTCCTCGAGAACCTCCAGCCGGCCGAGAGCGTCGTCCTCGATGTCCGTCAACCGATTCTCCGAGATGTCCAGTATCCGTAGGAGGGGGTAACTGTCCAAGTCGCCCCCCCTGATCGTGGTTAATTTGTTGCCGGCCAATCTGAGCGCCCTGACCGATCTCGTGAGCGCGGCCGGGACCCTGGCCAAACCCGTGCGAGACGCGTCCACGGTTTCCAAGCGTCTGCCTGTGCCCAACAGCAGCGAGACGTCCCTCTCTTTCAGAGGGTTCTCCGAGAGTTTTAGTATCGATAATCCCGGAAGCGGTTGCAAAGTTCCGGAAGCAGCCCGCGCCAAACCGTTCCTCGAAACGTCGAGCTCCCTCAATCTGTCCAGGCTCTCGAACCACCTGGCGCCCAAAACTTGTAGCTGATTCCCGCTCAGATCCAACTTCTGCAACGAGTAGAGGGGTGTCAACGCGCTGTCGGGCAGATCGGCCAGCCTGTTGTCCGATAAATCGAGAAACTCCAACCGGTCCAGCCCCCGGAACGCGTCCTCGTGCACGTTCGATATCGCGTTCCTACGCAAACTCAACCTCACCAATCCCGCAAGCGTCCTAAAAGCCCCGGCACTCACGTCCGTCAGCGAGTTGTCGGACAAGTCGAAACGCGTCAGCTCGCTCATATTCATCGCACGGCCCACCGTCACATCGTTCAACCGTGCCAGATTGTTTCGCGACAGGTTCAACGCTGTGACGCGCTCGAATCCGTGCCACGACACGTTCAAGAACACCAACGAACAGTTCGTCACGGACAATTCGTCGAGGTAGGGTAGTAGAATAGTAGTGCTGGTGGTGGTGGTGCTGGTGGTGGTGGCGGCGGTGGTGGTAGTGGTGGTGGTGGAGGTCGTGGTAGCAGTACTGGTAGTAGTGGCGACGATGGCGGTGGTGGTGGTGGCGGCGGCGGCGGCGGCGGCGGCGGCGGCGGCGATGATAGTGGTGGTCGCGTTATCGGGATCCGCCGACGCATCGCCGGCCGTGTCGTTTACGTCGACGTCGTACCGTTCGACGTTCGACGTAATGCCGATCACTTGGAACTCGCTCAACGTTTCGCTCACTTCCAGCTCCTCGAACAGACCGATCACCTCGTAATCGTAGGCACCGTCCACGGCCAGACTCCTCGTCCTGGCCGGCAATTCCGACAATCCCGGCGCGCGTCCGCGACACTTGACGCGTACGAACACCGGCAAGTCCCTCTCCCCGCCGCCGCTTTGATGACACTCGCACAGATCCGGACACGCGGAACCGCTCGCCATCAAGGCGAGCAGTATGAACGGAAGCCACATCGCTTCCAGCTACGGCGGCGTCTTCACATCTCGAACGGCCGATGATTAATAATCCTCGAACGGCTCACGCCGCCACCGTCCTGGGGTACCACCGCGCGATCTTGCCGAGGCTTCTTGGTGCACCGAGCATAGGCGCGCGTTCTCACGAGTTCTCATCGAACGGGCAGATTCGACGATCCGCCTCCTCGAAATCAAGGGATGCCGCCAAAACTCGCGAGTATACACCGACGATGCCAGACCGCGAGCAGACTATCGGCCGCGTCAGACGTGATGTCCATACGAAGGACTGACAAACACTGCGGCGCCCGACTCGTAGCTGCACCCGCCTCTCCTCTCTCTCGCCCCTTTCGGCCTCCGAGCCGGCTGTGCGCCGCCACCCTTCCCTCCAACCTTCTCTCTCCTTCGCTCTCCCGACCTTTCCTCCCTCCTCTTCTCCCTCTCTCTCTCTCTCTCACCTATTTCTATGCACCCTATATAGATGTACGCCACTCTCCACCACCACCACCACCACCACCACCACCCGACACTCGTCGCTTTTGCTCTCGAACTCGATAAGGGGCGCGAGCGCGCTTGCGTCCTCTGACAGTGTACCGACGACGAGGTACACTGGTACAGGTAGGAGGTATCCTTGCGATCTCACCGACTACCACCGTCGTCCACGGCTCGCGCTGCCTCCTGCTTCACTGACTCACTGACTCGCCTCGACTTTCTTAAACTCGATTCCGCGTGCTGGGATTTCCGGGGCGCGAGCAAATCGTTCGCCGCCTCCGCGTTATCCATCGCGGTTCAAACCAAACTTCCGCTCTCTTCCTCCTCGATGTTCCCTTCCATCGGATCTCCGTTTTCCATGTTTAGTACCTGTAAAAACGTTGACTTTCTCACTTTCGATTTTTTTTTTTCGACTTTCGTTCTTCTTTCGGACGGAAAGAGAATCGTCTCGACGATTGGGAATGGTCGGAGGAGGATAGGCCGCGTTTTAATCGTTGCGAGGATTAAAAGGACGCTGGGATCGATGATGTTGGATTCATATTGAATTTATGGTTGGCAGATGGTGGTACGTGAAAGCGTGGCTGTTTTTTGGAACAAGGATTTCGCGGTACGTACAATACAGTAGGAAACTAAAACTTTACCGATACACGTCCGCGTACTGCTGGCAGTTGGCTTTCTTAAATTCGATTCGCGTGCTGGGATTACAAAGGAGCCGAGGTGCAGTTCTCACGAAATAAGGTGAGAGGTCAGCTACTTTCCAAGCATGCACGCTTTCTATCTCGTTACGGCGTTTTCGGCCAACGCGATTATCTCGAGAGCTTCGCCGCATTGCAAATTTATATTTATATCGGAATTTTCGTTAAACGCGTTTTAAATATTTTTCCTCTTTTTCCAATATAGAAACGTTAATTTATTAATTTCATCAGCCGGTATCGACGGTGAAATAAACATTTAGAGAATTTCCTAGCTGGCGGTATAATTAAGCCTCCTTTTGCGCGAGGGTACGTACTATGAGAAGTTCGTATCGTTTGTATAGTCAAAATTTAAACCACTTAAGCCTGATCCGCACGTCTAAGAAGCCATTGTTTTAGCCGGTGCCGGTATAATCCTACTTAGAAGAGAATGATTGAATAGAGAGTGCTCGGAGAGACGAAAGGACGAGAGATTTACCGTCAACTAATTTCACATTCTACTGCACGTTGTCATTTTCAATATCCTATGTTTCCCTCGTTCCCTTCTGTTATTTCACCGTGTAATTAAAACACGCCGTTTAAAGCATTCGAAAACCTCGATATCTCATCTCTGATGATTGCTTTCGAGAGAAAGAGAGAGAGAGAGAGAGAGAGATAAAAAACCATTTTCTTTCCACCAAATCGAATCTCTTTGTAAAGTTTCTTTTAAGTTTCTTCCCAACTCTGTCCAAAAGTTGAAAGATCCCACGGAATCTTTGCAATATCTTTGCAATATAATAAGAGATACCATTTCACGTACGCGTATATTTTCGTGCATAAGTGCACGACACATACCAAAGTTATCCTTGGGTATACACACGGAGGCAAGCAGAATTTCGACTCCCATAAATTAGTTTCCCCGCGTCTCTAATCTCATGGGAATTACTGTTCTACTTGCCGGACTCACGGATCGAACGTGATCTTGGAATTGCCTCCACCACCTCCACTCTTGATATTTCTCTTCGATCGCGTAGCGTACGATCGCAGATTAAGTTACTTCTGGTTAAATACTCCCCCCTCCCTCCCTCCCTACTTAAAAAGTAGGATTTTCGTTCGATCGTCGAAATTTCTCCAACGATTCTCCTCCTTCGTCTCGAAGGATATATCGAGGAGCGGTGAAAAAAGAACGTAAATCGTAGAAAAAGTTGCACAAACCGGATGTCAATCAAACGGAAAGAAATACGGCGTTGATTAAAAGAAAGGTTCCGCTCGATTAAACGGCGACTCGACTCGCTAATTTATCGCCTCGAGAGAGAGAGAGGGAGGGAGAGGAAACGGTTGTGTCGTCGTCGTCGTAGTTCGCCTTCCATTATTCCGATGAAATATTTCCAGACACCTAGGATGAAACTTCGCTCATAGACGCGCCCTGTTTGACGGATTCCTCTGGCTTTATACACTGGCGCCAATATCTCGTACCGATGTACGATGCGTTTCGAAGCTTAGATTTATGGATTTCGGTCCTTGGTCTTGGTGAGCTTTGATCATGGACAATTGTGCATCGTTTATCGCGTCGGATTGCCGAGATTGCAGAGATTTAATTGGAGACGGATCGTGAGAGGAGAGTGGAAATTATCGGGGAAGTAGATATTTTTTTAACACAGGAAAATTGTTTCGAATCCTTGTTTCGTCAAATGGTTCGTCGATGAATCTTTAATTAGAGTCGGTGAAACGAAAGGGAGAGAAATGTTGATATTAAATCGCGGGGGATATTTATTCGCACTAAATGGTAAGGTACACATGCTGCAATTATTTAAAGTGTCTACCTACGCCTGTCTCCTTTTCACGAGCGATAAAACTACGGTAAACACTCACGTCTGCTACTACTCGTTGATGACATTTCAGCTAGAGAAGTTTAAGTTGCTATTGTTAACAATTATGGATCAATCCTTTGTTTATTCCTTCGGTTCGAGTGTAAACGAGCAAAAAATGTATCGACGTTTCCGAACAAGGGCTAATTCGTCGAGAAAATACGTTACTGCCTTATTAAGTGTTGTTATCGCGTGGAAACGTGCCAAGCGCCATTTATTCGAAAGCGTTGTTTCCGCATCGCGATCCTTGTTCTCTCATTCCTCGATGTTCTTTAGAGAGAATTCGAAAAAAGAAAAATGAAAATGTTAATTTAACTTAAATGTTAAATTATATACGTATGTATGTATGCGTCAATTAATATCGATATTTTTAAAGAAGAGAACAAGAATTGGAATAATTTTCAGCCTAAAAGTATTCGTACATTTTATTACAAAGATAGGAAAAAAAAGAAGGAAGAGAGGGGGAAAACTTGTCACAATTCTTCAATTTCGCTTTTTTCAGATTTCATTTTTAAACTAAATTTTTCTCCCATGGAGAATCTATCGTTATCTACGCATGCAAATTCTTTCTCGTAGAAATTGGAAAAAAAGCGGAGCATACCATTATTTATTTTCCCCCCGATTCTCTAGTTTGCATTTATGGGGGTGGTACCGTTGTGTTTGAAGAGCTCTCAAACCCACACTTCTACGCTCGCCACGCTGAATATGGTGGAAAACACAAGGTATCAGAGTAGAATAACTGAATCAAGATTTATCCCGGTATTATCGGACCGGTTCGAAACAAACGATTTCGATGACGAGCGCAAACGCTGACTTCAAACACACCCGTTCGATTAAGTGCTCTGTAAATTGACCTGAAAATCCACGTCACTTTAAAGCCGGCCAGTTGCAAACGATGATTTAATCGCTCGAAATGGTCATACACTGGCATTTTTGATACGACAATTTCACGATCGCTTCGAAAATCCTTCTGCCCGCTTCATCCGTCCGGGGACTATATCGTTTCGAACGTATTCTGACGAATTCGGACGAGGATCGTTGTCCTTCGAAATTCGCTTAAACAACTCGTCCGCCTTCTCGGGTTAATCTTCCTCCCAATGTATCCAAACTCTTATCCCGTAGAAAATAAATTTGCTTGTTGCCACGAGAGATGGAAATAACGGATAAATAATTTTAATAATTTTAATAGAATTCGATATTATTTTTGAAGATTTCATCGATTGAGAATTTTATCCTTGATAACGAAATTAAATGATATTTTTGATAAAGGAAGGATATTCAGTTTTTATTATTAAAGTTGCACGAACGATTTATCATTTGTTTCTGCAGATTGTTATTTTTAATGCGCGATTGAATGCATTTTACTTGCAGTTAGTACATTTTTGTTGGAATATGTTTCAAAAAAATTGTAAATTCAATTGTATTTGGAATTGAAAAAAAAATTTTGTACTTTAATTCTTTTTTGAAGGAGATATATATAAATAATATGAAAATTACTTTTTTGCGAAAATAACGTAATTCAAGTGAAATTTATATAGATTTTATTATACTTGATTGAAAATAGCAAATTTTTTTTAATTTTATAGATATCGTTTAAACCGCATAATTGCCTTTAATGAAATATTGTTGGTATCAATAACAAAGCATACGTGCAATTTTATCAAATTTTTGAAAATTACGAGTGAAAGAGAGAAAAAAAAAATCGATTCTTGCCGAACGTGAGCGCGATATTTCATGGAATTTGATTATCGAATTTCCTGTTCCCTGATTTAGTTCGCTTCTCTTTATGGAATCCCGAGTTCAGAATTTAAAAGGCACTTTCTCTTGCACTTTTTTTTTTTTTTCAAAATCTATATCATCACACCGTATATTTTTCGCAAAGCATTATCGTAAAGCACTTTAAAATACTTTAAAATACAAATTAATTAGCCAACACTTGATCAATTTAGAAACGATGACTTAATTTCCACAGACACAGCAATTATACGATAATTATTTTCAGATAGAAAAATTATATATGTTCTTCTACATTTTTATTCTTCCATAAAAATTTTACTTTTGAATTCGATGAATAAAGAAATTCTATTACACTTTCTACAGAGAAAAGTGTAAAAATATTATTCCACACTTCGTTGAAATTTAAGATATTTTACCAATATCTTTATTGAATAAAATTTTCGTGCGAACGAATTTTTCGATCCGGTCGATTCAGCGAATCAAG